ACATAAATAGGTCACATTAGTTAATACATAGAATATGTAGGCATCTTGAGATAGCATTAGAATGTGTACATTTTAATGAGCAATGCATCCACAGGGCATGCGATGTAATGTTGCTGCATAACCTGGATTTGGATTTGACATTTTGCTGGCCTCCCAATGGAATTTTTATGTTATATTTCATACATTCCCTGGGAATATAATGTGATGTTGCTACAATTGCAACTGATTTCGATGTGATGTTGGCTGATTTTCCCCCAATGGAATTTTTATATGATGTGGATAACTCCCAGTGGAATTGTAAGTGATTTTTGCTGTATCAAAACCTTAGGGTGTTAACCATATTCAGAAATACATAAAAACTGCTATGACATCATTGGAAAACACTCGATAATCTGAAGCGAAGTGGTAACAGAATACTGTAGTTGCATGTACAGTTTATCAAGTAATGTTCCTTTTTTTTTTAGATTCTGTCTTTTTTGTACACACAATCTCCTATATTAACCCCTCACCGCATATTTACTTATTATTAAATTTAAGAAAATAATGAAAAGGGCAGGTAAAGTTATGGGTTGCAATATTAGACATATTGAGGACATCCATGTTGACTACTTATTTAAGAAATTCACTAAAATTATTAATGACACAAAATTCCCATTAAATCAGTTTTTAACTTATCAGAGTTCAGGGAGAATTAAACTAATTTTTTTTGGGTGGGGGAGGGAGAGGGGAGCACTCAAATAGACACAGAAATTCATTCATAATCAATGCTGTCCATTAATTTAATGATATATTTGCCAGATAATAGCTTTAATAGATAAGTACATTATTATTATATTGTATCTGTTGTTTTTCAATGTTCTTCATGTATTTAATTGCCTTTTACTGTCTTTCCATGTCTTTCATTATATGCAGCAAGCAAAATGAATTCCATTTGTCACATGTTTGGTTAATGATAATAAAGCCATCTTGAATCTTGAGTTTGTAAAATAAAATAAGAATGGTTTTATGTTTGTATCTAGGTTAATAGTACTTTATATACTACCTTATATACAAATGTCGATCGTGCTATAGATAATCTGATTCTGTAATTGGATATGAACTATATTGATACAACTATGACACTGAGAATGTAACTAAATCTACAATATTTTAATGGTCAAATAATATGCGCCTAGAGTAACTTGATAGTCAAAGTGCATCAAAAAAAGTTACAAATTCTGCTCTTGTAAAACATCAACCCTACTTGCTAACACCAGCTGTAGGCTATACTGTTTGTTATTGCATGCAAAGTAGAGAAATCGGTATTTTATAGGGTGCTGGGGCCTGCCAATAGATAATGACTAGTAAGAGGCTATGCCTATATCTGGAAACTGGCCTGCTTTAGTTACCAGCTATCAGGATGCCTGGCATACCTTTATGAAATTCCTCCATTGAACTAGTGGTAAATGTTCATGGAAGCGAAGACAGCATTCGACAGCGAGGGCGATTGCTGAGTTGCCAGCAACTGTTACGTTCAGACAAATGGTCTGATGAACTTTGCTAATTAATCCTGACAGCCTACAATGAAGGTATCTCAGATAATTTGTAGCATGCTTCACACTTCTTATGTTTGTGTGGCAGTAGCATGGGGATTAGATCTTTTAGAGTGCAGGAGTACTTTTTAATTTTTTTTTTCTTTTTCCTGTACAATTTGGCTTACTAGGCAGTGTACTTGTTTTAGTTTGTATATTTGTTTAGTATTTCATCCATTAAGCCTGGAGTGTGGTCCTATTGCTGACACTTTTAGGTAGAATGTGGCCATATGTAGGATGTCTTACAAAATATTCCAATGATTGACAGATAGATTCATTGGTTGACTTGAAAGATTAGTAATGTTATTAAGTATTAAATTTCAGTATTAAGTACATATTCTTTATTTTATACAGATTTACTTTCGTTTGTATTTAGATTTATTTTAAGTCACATTATTATTGTCATGACAATAGCTATTAACTTTAATGCTGTACACATTTAATTTAGTTTAATGTATTCATAATGTATTCATGAATAGGGTTGATTGGAATATATACATGGTATCTATTTACTAATAACCTACAGTGTTATTAAAAAGTAAATGAATTTGTGTCATTAAGGCAATTAGTGCGATGTATATTCTAAATAATCAACAAATATGTATTGATAAAGGCAGTACTACCTACAGGGTTCCTAATAATAATACCTAATTACTTTATGCCATTGGCTGGCATTTGGGAAAAAATAATGCCTAAATTTTGTGTGTGTATTGTTCCTTCGTATAGTTTGACTTCACAAAGTGTATGAGATGACTTCCTGCAATTGCAAAAAGGAAAGACTGACCTTCTTCCAAGTCATTTGTAGCAGTCCTCATCCCACCCCCGCATCAAATTCTAATTTACTCCCCCACTGCTTAACTTATTTGATGGGCAATTTAATATGATACGAAAGATAGTTCATTACATGACGTGACAGGAACGGATGCTTATTAAACAGCAGAATTGATTTTATGTTAATTGCCGCTTACTCATAATTTTCTTGGAATTGATGCAAACATTTCCGTGATTTTTTTAAGTATACATATAAAAAAAAAAAACCCGATTAAAAAAAAAGTGTTTGATTTAACTTAATACTATTCAAGATTAGTTCATAAATATTCATACATTTTACCATTAAATACTGTAAGCATCCTGGTTTTTACAATTTGTAGTGTCATTGACCAGGATTTTTGGGTGCGCTATAAAATCTTTCTTATAATAGGATTAAAGTCATGTACGCTTGTAATCCTACAGAATATGTTCTTTGGATGGCAATTTTTTGCTGTACAATACTTCCTGGATGTAAAGTGCTTTATATTTTTTTGTTTTGTTTTTTTTTTGGGGGGGGGGGAAGCCAGGGTTATACTGTATTGCCTTCCAAATATTTTGCAGGAAAATTGACTAAATTTTAGTTTATAATTTTAATTCCAACAGCATATAAATTAAATTTTTTACAACCCTTATTAAATTTTTACTAAGTGCCTTGTTCATATTGATATGTCATTGAGAAATATATCAATAAAACCACTAAGCTCAGTGTTACAGAGACAGAAAGTCACAGTTGGAAAATGTACTTTGAATATAACTGAGAAAATGCACCTGCGATTCCTGTATTAACAATAGTTTTGTCCTAGTTTTTAAAGACCTGGTTATATTTGGAAGGTCATTGTCTTGTTCATATTGTAGTTACAACTTGTAGAGTAAATAAGTATTTCTTTGAAATATTAGAATTAAGGACGTGCTTAAGAATGACCTGGCCTACATCCTCTAGTGGATCCTTTCTAACAGTTGACATTTCTTAGGATATCATTAATGAGTTATGTTCATCATAAGAACGTGGGCCTCTTGTGCTTGGACAATGAATCATAAATGCTTCAATACTACAATTTGGTCAGAATTTTGCATCTGTTGTAATTAAGTAAAAAGATAACAAGATGTACTCTATCATCGAATGTCACATGATATAGAACATTGAGATTATTATTTATTATGCAACACATTAGTGCCATAAGTAGTAGTGGCTAGGATTTAATGGTTTTTAGTGTTCGGGGAGAAGAGAAGGCATGCTAGTTGCAAAGTTGTCCAACAGGAGTCTGACGATTTCTATAGAGGTCAGTAGGGTCAATGGGCGATAAGACCCTGGTAAAATGTGCTCAAAAAATAAAATATATCTGGTTCTATGAGACAAGGCTGAATGGAAAATGGCTTGACCTGTCCAACAAGGGTTTTTAGCATCCTTGTTTCTCACTTAACTCTGGCTGCAATAAAAATATATTATACATAATGAACAAACATCAAATTGAAACATCAACTATCAAGTTAAAAGCTCCTACACTAGTCTTAGGAATACAGTATTTGAAAAATTCACATTCTAATGTACTCCGTACCCATTTATACTGCGTGATGAGAAAACAAAATGCAAGCAAATAACTTAGATATGACCAAGGTAATTCAACAGAATTTGTGAAAATTGACCAAGAAAATGAAAAGTTATAGCAAATGAAAATTTACGAATTTTATAAAATTTCATGTTGTTATGTAACATTAAACTGTCATTTTGACAATGTTGGACCAAGGTGCACAAAACGAACATTTGAGTAAATACGGAACATTTAGTAATTTTTTCTGCAAAGTGAGTCTCATGAACGACAATACACCACAATATCGGTAAAATTAATGTTGAAATAAAGAATATAATTTCAGTCTAATATTAGTGTAAAATATCATTATGCCTTTGTAATCACCGCACGATGCGCGATTATCATGGCAACTAACACCTGCGTGGGTAATTTGTCACGTACGCTGAGGGTTTATTGTCTGGTTGCTATGGTTTTTGTGACGTTCAGCGTGTAGGGACGCACGTGCGCCTAGAATGTCGATGCCAGAGTTATAAACTTTGATGTACCGAGATGTGCATCCTTCTGTTGAATTGCCTTGATATGACATAGTTTTCACTGGCAGGCTGTACCAGCTTCATAATCTGTATGATGAAGTTGGCACCTGATTCTGCTGCTGTTGAGTAGAGTTTAGACAAACAACTACATATCTACAGTACTTTCTTTTCATCCTGTGCGAGGAGAGACAAACATAGTGCCAATAGTCCAGGAATACTTGCATTATAGCAGTATGTCAAGGCATCTTATAACCCTTGTAGATTAGAGGCCAGGCTAGCGCCATACCTCATAGTGTGTGGCACAGCGATAGTGCATTTTCCAATTAAAATGATTGGTGTAAACATTTGCATTAGTATGATGTTTAGGGGAGATCAGATTGTTTTTTGCAGTTGTTAAGGAAATCGTTGCATAAAAAGTAGTCATAATATCTGAATCTACATTACAAATCTACATATCTGTACATGATTTTTACTGTTAATTTATTAAAAGTAATCTGAAATATTGTGTATAACTAAAGCTGATATAAAACTTTTTTCTTTTCTTGTTTTGTTTACAGCCACCTGAACGGTCAGGCACTGCTCGCTCAGCCTCAACAAGCTCTATTTCAAGGTAAAGTAAAGTGGGGTTCAAAATTGGAGATCTTTGGTACCCAGTTCAATTCCATTCAATCCTGTCTTTGAGTTTCAGCTATAGGAGTGAAAGAAAAGGTGCACTGTCATTTGGTAGATCCATTTTAGCCGTTTGTCCCGTATACAATATGGCCATGTGGACGTTAGAGAATGCAGTACACTCTTCGGAAAAGAGTAGGGGATTGTCTCTGGTTTGCTGCCCAATCCTTGGTGTTCGCCCTGATTGAAATCTATAGTGCATGGTACTTTCTAAAATGTCACAAATAAGTATAATGAAGGCAATATTGCCTACAGTTTTATTCAAAAGTAGGTAAAGTGTTGTTAAGTCAATACTACTTACAAAAGTGAAACTAGACATGAAAAGTGAAAATATAACTGTACAGTATGTACTTGATGATCCTGGGAATTTTTCATCAAGTATCAATAGATAATGCTTATGGTAATAGATCAACTTAAGAAGTGCAAGTACCGTATACAATGATCTCTCAGTGTACTAATAATACTAATTATAATTACAAACAAAAATCGTAACTCCATAACGCCATTATCCATTGATGTTATGCTCATGTCGCTATCAAATCAACCTAACAAATATTTTCCAAAACTTTTTCATCAAATATCAATAAATAATAAAAGCACAAGTATACAAAGTTCTCTCAGTGTACTAAGTATAAATAATTATAATAACAATATTAAAAAATCATAATTCTAACGCCATTATCCATGCTCATGTCACTTTCAAATCAACCTAAACAAATATTTTTCAAAGTGGAAAATGTAATGATGGAGATTTTCAAACTATTCTTCATAGTTTGTGCACTTGATAGATGGCGCATAACGCCCTCTATCAGCTACGTTTGAAGATGCAGGTAAATTGTGTTTCACCAGCAGACTGCAATCATTCCTTGACCTTTTAATTCTTCAAATTTGAATGTTGGCACACAAATATTGATAGTCAGATAATTTCTACACAGAATTTCGTAGACACATGCAATGCTGTCCATGTGACACACATTATTCAAAGTATATATGGATACAGTTACCCTGTTAACCATATTATGTACCTTACTCGCTGGGTGTCCACATTACATATTATATGGGTCGTTGAAATTCAGAAAATGTGACCTACAAGTCCTAGAAAATAAGCTTTATCATTATTACCTGGAGGCTCTTCTAGTTTTTAACATCTTTAATAAGGATGACACTATCATTTATAATAATGGTTTACATTCTGGTCCTGGAAATATGCTGTTTATTATCATTCATAATCCATATTTATATGCCTTTTGATTTGATTTATACCATACACTCTTCAAAACCATACAGACAGCACACATGAACTGATCAAATCACAAAAGATCAGAGATAACCATAGAATTGCAAGAAAGAAACCCCAGTTACTTCCTTAGGAGTCCCCAATTATTTGTATAGGGGGTAACTAAGAGAGTAATAAATACGGTATAACTACTGAATCATATTATGATGATACTTTCAGATCATAAAATGATAAAGTATGTAGGATGCTTGTTGAAATATTGGTACTTGACTCAGCATAATTTACACAATAAACAACCATGACCTAAAAATAAGGATACTTGCTCACCAAATTGATAATCCTCCAGATTCATCCCTGTCACTCGCGCTGCAACCAAGATGTTATTACTTAAATGGATCAAGTCATGGAACAAACAATAATTTTTAAAAAAATCATCTGTGTCAATGATGCTCAGCTAAGCCTAGAGTTTATAGCCCGAGGCAGTCTAGCATGACTCAGTTGAACCAACATGAACCCTCCGCCTACACACGGAGCCTATGAGTATAGACAGTTACAATCCCGGCAGATAGTATCATCAGAAGACAATTTTACACACCTTGAGGAATATCCTTGATTTTTAAAATTGTATTAAGTACCAACCTGGATTATATTTTATTTAAATCATTCTAGTACATCTGAGTATTAACAACACTCGCATGCAAATTATGAAAACACTTCTTGTCTGGATTCAGACTCCCAACAATTACACTAATATGCCTAAGTCATGAAAATATATAACAGAAGATACCAAAAATTGACATGTTATATTTTTTGAACATATATCATTTATTTCGTCTTTAGTTTGATACATAACAGATAAACAACAATAAGAAAGAAAAACAAAAGAAACAATGCTAGCCAACACCAGACAGGATTGCTCATTATATATCAATCCAGTAGATTATGAAAATTTAACTGATAGGCTATGAAAAATGTATTTGAAAAATTGTAATCAGTTAACGGAAGCTTTAGACATGAGGTATACATTTACTAAAACGTGTGTTTGTGCACAAATTAAGGGAACTTTATGTAAAGATTTATAAAATTGAAAATATATAGATTAATGTTTAATTGAAAGTCTGACTGGAATATATATTACTATGATTTAGAAGGACTGTTTTAATGAAAGTGCATGTATATTTTATGTTTTTTTATCCCACTTATATTTTGCACTTTCTTGTTTACACTTTTCAGGTATGGTGATACATCATCAGTACTTGATCGTAGTAGTAGAAACAGTCTACGAGACACAACTTATTCGTCATCTAGGGACCGAGTGACCAGTGTACCATGCCAAAATTGTAAAAAGGTGTGTAGAACTACTATAACATGTACACCAATATTATCTCAGGTCTCCTCCCTCTTATGATTACTATGACCTCACTGAATATTGATCACTGTTGAAAAATTGTTTTCATAAATTTCAGCTTTTTGAAGAACAGCAATCTCAGGTTGAGAAACTAGAGGAGAAACTAAAAAACAAAGAGAAGGAAATTGCAAATCAAAAAGTCCAATTGGAAAGGGCGCAGAGTAAATCTGAACATATAGAAACAAAGAGTTATGATCATGAAAAACGGGTATGGAAATTTGTTGTATATTTACTGCTTATTTAATCCCCATTTCACGGCCAAATGCCAAAATACAGGAAAAGATTATCAATTCAATATGTAATTGTATATTTACTTTAGCATTATATACTGTAGTTCCTTGAGTAGGCCACTCCCTATTTTACATCTATTTTCACTTGCCAGTATTTCTCACTCAGAACCCCAGGGTATGATGTGAATAAGCCAGCTGACTTATTACAAATACTTACAGAAAAAAAAAATATTAGCTTTGGATTTGGCATGCAGTGTTGGAAAATTTGCCTTTTGATTGGCCATACCTATAAACATAGATTTCTTGGTCCATACAAACCCATTCCCAAAATAGTCTCACTTGTGTTCAAGGAAGTAGGCTTATTCCACAGGAACTATATTCAAGATTAAAGATTCAACACATTTTTTTGGTCTAATAATAAAACATTGGAACTTTGTTTTTTCTTGGTAATTCATACATATAAACTAAGGTGTATGTATGTGGAATGTATTTTGTTTCATTCTAATTATGCATTTCTGTGCTATTCCTTTCGGCGAGAAAATACAAAAATACACAAAAGTGCAAAACAAAATACAGAGCAAATTTCAATTGGAAAAAACATGGCAAAAAATGTCAGTGCCAAGATATAGCCAAAGCGGCAGGGACACTTTCGCCCGAAAAGAATGTGCTATTTGGTATAAAAAATAAATCAATAAATGAAGAAGAATTAAAAATTGAATATTAAACATGGAATGATATAGGGAAATCACATGGATTTGTTATTTGTAATCATTTACAACAATACTGTACAATATTAATAATGGTGAGAATAAATACATTCTGGTTAATTGATTTGATTTGTGAATTGCTTCGCAGGAGAAGAGAGCATTGGAGAGGAAATTGTCTGAATTGGAGGAAGAAATTAAGGTAAGGTTTTGTCTCCACAGCCTCATTGCCTGTATGTAGGTATGTTTGTAAGCATGTGTCTGTCATCATATACCTTTCATAATTTCACTCATTTGATGTTGCCTTCATTTCATCTATCCTTTCTGCTCTTTCCATTCTAAATACTCTCTTTCTCTCTTGAATATAGGTGACAAATATCTAATTTAATATTTTGTTCTTCTAGGTTTCAGTTAATGAGAACTTCAAAATTGATTCATTACTATTTCTTTCTGTAATTTGTATTCACACTTTTCTTATTCCTCTTTTCTCTATTTGTATTCAGGTGAAATGAATGTAAATGTTTGTTTTATGGCTCACTATAAAAACGTGCAAAGATAATCACATTTTACATTTGCGATTAATTTTGGGGTGGTAACAAATTGTTTTTATTTATTACTATAATGTAATACATGTTATTAAAGTGTGGTACGGTAATGTCACTGAGTTATTTGATGAAATATTGGTTACTACCAGACAATTTAGTTTTATAATTAGCTACTTTGATGTTTAATATAGTTTACCTTGCTGACATTATTATTTTTAATACACCTGATAAAGGCTATCATAGACAGCTAATAAAACAGCTTTTGTTTCTCTTGATTTTGTAGGCCTATTCAGACAAATTACATCATATTTTTGCAATTAGTGCACATTTATTTTGAAATTATTATATTTCAATTATTTTTTTGTGTTATTGAAAAATTATAATTAATACATCAATTTTAGATCTATTTTTTGTCTTTTACTATCTTTTACTTTCTTATATTCTGTCATTTACTATCTTTTCATTTTTTTGTTGTCATTTTTCTGTCATTCACATTCATTGTTTACTTCGGTTTATATGCACACATTTCTGTTAAATGTTTGTAAATGTATAGCTCCTTCCCTTCCATGTAAGCCATGTATGACTTGTACCGCTATCCGATTTATTTATATACTTATATTCCAACCCTTCATGTATACACACTGATATTTCCTTCCCTATTGTCATACCTATTCCTGATCATTTCTATTATGTGTACATCCTACTCATGTCATTTATGTAATTTTAGTGCAACCCCTTTATGTTTATGTTATTGTAATTCATCCCCTTCTGTTCCCCCTGACAATTGGATGTTATTATTCACTATCAATTTCGAATTACTAATCTAATTCCGCTATTAAACATTTAAACTGACATAATATAACCCAAAATATATCTCCCAACATTGACCATCAATTGTAAGTACGAGTTTCCTCAGTGAACTAATTTTGTATTTTGCTTTTATGATGTTTTTTCACACTACCAATTTCCTACCTGTTTCATTTTTACTGCTTGGATGTGATTCTGAACAAATGGATATTGTTTTTGTGTTTGATCATACATCCATTTGATACAGGTTAAAAGTTTCTTTTCATGTATCAAACATAAAGTAAAAAAAACAAAACAAAAAAAGATTGTTTTTTTTTTATATATTATATACTGTACTTCAAAAGAAAGGTATTGTTCCTCTACCACTGAACAGTATGTTTCGAACTTGAATTGTGTGAAGTCAACCTATCTAAATCTGCTTAAAATTGTCTGGAATTTTGAGTGGTTAATACTAATAAATAATGAAAACATTTTTGAGTTGTTGATTGATGTTGTGTGATGTTGCTAAGTAAACATTTTGAATTTGTTTACTGATGTTGTGTGGCATTGCTACCTAGACATTTTGGAGTTGTTAATAGTGATGTGTGGTGCTTTCTTGAAATTTTAGTTGATTAGTGACAATGAAAACGCTGATATTTGGCATGCAAAGTTTTCAGTCGGTTGCTTCAAACAGTATTTCTGCTGTGTCTGCTGTTGATCATAAAGTGATGATATTGATAACAATGACAAAATTGTTGATGAAAATGATGATGGGGATGATGATGTTAAGGCCAAAAATAATTAACACAAGTAATAGGTAACATTTTTGTGACTACCGTATACATTTATAATTATAAAATAATTGTATACTAAAGTTCTGACTCTTTCTAATTATTGATTACTCTACGGACGAGTAAATGTGCTCATAAAGGTCTCCCTCCAATTAAAGACCACTTTTCCAACCGGTGTTTCCATGGTCTTTAGAAGCTTTTGTCTCTAATTAGAATAATAAACATTAAATAGACATTTGCTAATTTAGGACCACAAAAAATTGGTCTTTAATTGGAGGTTGTCTTTCTTTGGAGGGTCTTAATTTAGAGGGAGACCTGTATTATCTTTTTACACTCCGTTTTTCGCAAAATGACCCCAAACCAATAAAGGTTTCAAAAACGAACGTCAATTTCCTTTTGTTCTGTTAGCACACCGGCCACTGCAAAAAAAAAAATTTTTTTTAATTAATTTTGTATTTTAAAAAAATTATGCTCACCGCTACCACAAAATCTCTCAATAAGAAATTTTACTTATTCTTAAAAATATAATACATTTAAAACTTGTATCAATCTAATTGCTGAACTGATGACATTACATCATGCAGTATTCTTTTGGATGTGATATGATATTTAGAGAGGGTGCCCTTTATACATTTTTGTACCTCACATTAAATTTTTTTATTTTCTCCTCTGCCTGCTGTAGATGCTTTTGGAAATACCATTTGCTAAAAGACTACAAGATTGTAATTTTCATTCTCCCACCCATTTTTTTTTTTTATTTTTTTTATTTTCTTCTTTGCCTAGTTGCTTTTAGAAATACCATTTGCTAAAGACTGTACAAAATTGTAGTTTATTCTTTTTCACCCAGCTCTGACATTGTCAAAATGAGAGAGGTATAAAAAAAGGTCTTGTTTATATGGTGATTTGTGATGGTGTTCATGGCAGTTGCGATGGTCTTAGTGGTGATTGTGATGGTGAAAAGTGGCAATTTTAATATTGATTGTCATTGTCATGATGGTGGTGGTGTTGTTTAGTCAATCATGGTTTTAATTAATCTTTTAATGCTTCTATTTCAGACGATTCATCAACTGAAACAGGATAATCAGAGGTTAAAAGATGAGAATGGTGCCCTGGTGCGAGTCATAAGCAAGCTGTCAAAATAACCACCAACTGTAAAGTTTCTTGAGAAAAAAAAAGACTTGATAATTTCTAAGAGAAAATACATTTCAACATCGAAATAAATAAAGCAGCGCAGGCCGTGCTGCTCGTTTGCGTTTGCTGTCATGTAGTCGATAGTGAGAGCCGTGATGATGATTATCGCACCCGAGTTCTTATGCTATGTTTGCCTGAAGTTAACAAAAGGAACCTACCTCCCAGTATCTGCTCATGCGGTCTAAAAATATTGATATTGTTTTATTATATGAATACCACGCACACACAAACATATATATCAACATACAACATTTCACATATGTACCCCCATACATACCTCATACCTTCATGCATACCTGCATATCATAGTGTATATTATGTGAGCACATCAAGCCTGTATCCAGGGTGGAGCAATGGATATTTACACATCCCTCAAATCGGAAAAGGTACACATTTTTAAGACCGTCAAGAATGTACTGAATATAACGGTTTTTTTTGGTTTTCTGAACTAAAGATTAATAGCCAGTAATCTATTGTTAGGCCAGTATTGAAGTTGCCATAGTAATGGCAAAACTTTAATGGAGTGGATGTTAAAAAATATTATCCGAATCAATCACTTTCTGCCTCTGAATTGACTACATCAGTCCTTCCAGGGAAAAGAATCTGGTACCCCTACCAGGTGCTGTTCACCCTGTCGGGGATTCTAAACAACACCCAATGGCAATCTTGGATACAGCCTTGCACATATATGCACTTACACATACAATCTTCAAACACAAACATGCACAGAGTACATTTTCTTTATGTTGTTGTTTAACACATGTAACTGTGTTGTTTGAGCAGTATGTATTGGGTAGTCAGGCTACCACTAGCGACCACACAGGGCAACATTCTTATAATAAGGCATGATTACGAGTGGACTGGTTTTTTTTTACCCATGTAGTACAATGAATTCAGGCAAATAGATATATTCCCTGTTGTTTAGCATGTGTGTAAAGTTCTTTTGGACAACCCAAAACAACTGAAAATGACTAGTAAGTTTCAGTAAGTGCTTCCTGCCGAACAGTTGCCTTGACGACAATTTATTCATTTATTTATTGATTTGCTTTTGGTTTGTAATTTATTTTTCTTAAGGGGATCACTTCCTGCAGATATGGCTGGCTTACTCTACACAGGGATATGAACAATATTTTAAACTGTTAAAGTCTATTTTTTGTTTTACTAAGTAACCTTCGAATATTTTCAAAATCTAAATCAACTACAATTTCATATCTATGCACACATTTATTTCACCTATTTTAATATTTGGTGGACGTGATTTTTGGATTAGATATATATTTAAATAGTGAGAATGCTTAGATAAAATGATTATCTTATAACATAGAGTGAAGTATACCCCCAACTCTCCCCTCCCCCAACTCTCCTATCCCTTCTCATGCTCATCAAAGCCAGACACATCTGTATGTTTTGTGATCTCTTAAAGAATACATAGTATATTATACTAACAAATAAAGCTCTACTTAGGGTAAACTATATTTTCAGAGCTTTATAAACATTTTTTACACTTTGCTATATACAGAATAAAGAAAAAAAAGACAAAAATAAATGACTACATTGCTAGGCTTGTCCTCAAATCTAACCTATTTTGTAACTACTAATTTAGAGAGGTGTCCAGTAATCATTAGGCTGGTAGATAATAATATGCGAAAGGATGATATTGTTATTTATTGTATTCTAATACCCCTTCTAATGCTTGCTAGTGATACAATCCAGTGTGTGAGCTTAATATTTTGTAGAGTATAATAAATATATGGCTGGACAATATAATCAGTTATTGATTGCTTAATTGATCAATAAAACATACAGTAATTAATATATAGTTATTGGTCAGTAATAAATCAAAATCAATAACCTGTCACTGATTATAAAATCAATAATTAATTACTGATTATTAATCAATCATAATCTATAGCCAGTTATTGATCAGAATAAATTAGTTTGTTATTGACCAGTAATCATTGTAATCAATTATGAGTTATTCAACAAAAAGCTACAAATAATAATTAGCTATTTACCAGTAATCATTTATGATCAGCAATCATTTGCAATCAATAATCAGTTATTTATGTTATAATCAGTTATTGGTCAATAATTATTTGCTACTGATCACTTATTGATCAGTAATAAATTGTCATTGATAATTTATTGATTAGTAATCAATTACAAGCAATAATCAGTTATTTATGTTATAATCAGTTATTGGTCAATAAGTATTCACAATTGATCAACAATAAGTTATCTATAATTTATTGATCCATGATCAATTACAATCAACATCAATTATCAATAATTATTTATTAACATGCAATTAATTATGCATATTAATAATTAGTTATTGGTTGGTAATTATTACCGTCAGTCGTCAGTAATTGATCAGTGAATATCTTGCCTACAACTTGCATTAGTTTTTAATGGAATTGATTTAAGATTTTTTAAAAGGTACCTACTACTACATAAATCAATGTAAGATAATGATTCATAATGGACGAATTATTTTTTTTTAACTTGTTTTATATTATTTAATCTATATTATATTGAGTTGTATCGATATTCATAATCATTTTTATCAAATCAATAAATACAATATTGGTTGGACATGAATGAAAATACCCTTCATAATTCCAAATCGTTATCAATATCGAATCCATAGTATTGAGTATTTTATGAATTATTATTTTTTAGCTCTTGTATAATTATTATTATTATAGTTATTGTTATTATTGTTATTGATTGTGGGTTATTCAAGTTTGTTGACTGGCTAAAGGAGTACAGTAGAAACAAGGTTATTAACAGTGTTTGTGTGCTTATTCAGTTGATTGGTATTTGAATTATTAGTACTGTATGTTCACATTTTTATAAAAGTTAAAATCCATTAGGAATTACTGCCCAAGAGATCCCATAGGTTTTACAAGTCACTCATTCCCTCAGGAACCAAGATTTTTTTACATCCCTCATTTCTGTAAGGTTCGAATTCAGAATGTGTTTGAGACGAAAACGTCTTTAATGGAAAACATTATCCACACTTTCCACGGTAACAACTGACAAACAATGATAGGCGTCTACGATCTCAGAAGGATTGTTAGCAAATTTATTTACATTTATTGAAACACTTGATAGAGTTGTATTTATGTTCAATATTAAATTATCTACTGTAAATTTAGCAGTCTATTAGAAACCATTGATACACCTAGTAAACCATCACAATATGCTCCAAGGCTTTGCAGAAGAGTCCGTTTATTTGCAGTGTGGCTTGACCGACGAAAAGTTCAGCAAACAAATGTATGTTTATAGTAAATTAACATTTGCATCCTATGTTGGTATTATTGTGCTTAGAATCACGCTGAAATTTGTTGATATTTTTCTCATTGATGGTGGGATGTACACGATAGGGAATAGTAAAATCAAACTATCCTGATATATTAAAAAAAAAAATTACAGATGTGATGTAACTGGATTTGCGATTTATATTTGTACATTCATATTCATATCCAATTTTCATAATTTGTACAAACTGAACACATGATCGTGTCCCAATTTCGATTATTTAAACTTGGTAGATTAGAATTATGAAAATTAAATAGGGGAAGGAAACTAATAGAATATTTAAAAAATACAAACATCAGCAGTAGCAACAGCTACGATATCACCTAAAAACATGGGACTTTATCCCATACGCGCATTTGAAGAAAAATCAATAAAGACAAACAAGTTAGCGAAAAACTAGATTGTTGTGTGTATATGTTGGTGTTTGACAGTGTTTATTATCATTGTCGTGTGAATTCATTACCAATGTCACTATCATCACCATAATCATTATGATCACCTTCGTTAATTTCTCACTATTCGTATAATGATTGTAACGATCTTCAATGCTTCAAAGCTTCATTAACTTAACCAACTGTTTTCATGGAGATTCACGAATTAATCTTTAAATAGGCCTATCGTTATCGACACCATCAGTTTCATTGTAGTGGTTGACGTCATTATATTGTAACGTCACTAGCAACAACTTCATATAATTAATAAGTTCATTATCTTCACTATTTTTTGTAATGAATTGTCGATCATATGCTCCAGTGTACGCTATCGGTGACAGTTGTCGGGAAGTTTGAGCCTGGTTCAACTTTACCGATTGCGTTGCAGACGAATCGGGGTGCTTTTCCTTTTACGTCGGGGCAGCTAGCAATGCACTATAATTCCAGGGCCCCTGTCGGGGAGAAAAAGCACAATTCGTCGGGGAGAAAAACAAATTTTATGTATTTTGTATTTTCCTGGCGCCACCCCTGCCTAATTCGTCTGCAACGCAATCGGCAAAGTATGTATGGAAACTAAGCTTCACAGTCACCATCACCATTTTGACAGCAGCTTAGCTCTGTCGGCTAATCTGGTGGAAGCCGCTGTGTGTGCGCTGAACCGTAGGGATCTCTAGGTCCCCGGTTCAATTCCCATCGCTGCCTCTCCTTGTGTTTCAGCTGGAGGACTGAAGTACAAGTTATAGCGCACCGTCTTTCGGATGAGACGTTGAAGCCGTTGGTCCCGTGTGCATTTATGCCCCATCATGTGCACGTTAAAAAACTCAGTACACTCTTCGGAAAAGAGTAGGGGATTGTCTCCCGGTGTACTGTCCAATCACCACCAGAAGGACCCCACTGGGAATAAGTCCTTGGTGTTTACACCGAATAAATCCAGGACTTCAACCCGGGACCTTTTGCATACATGGCGAACGTCTTGACCACGAATCCATCATAGTGAGCCAAGCTTCGGTAGAAATTCCTTTATTTTAATGTATATGATGTTACAATTTTGATATAATATCCATATAACTCATCTGCCAGACTATAAGATACGCCCTCTTCTGTGCATTATTTTCAGGTTGCTGGATCTCGAACAAGATACTGTATAATAATTATCTGGCTTTTTTCCCCCGACACATAATGGACCTTTCCCAAATGTCTGGACAATAAGAACAGGGCCAGGGCTTCGCACGTGTCCCAAAAATATAAGAGGCGGAGTTTGCAGAATGGTTCATATTATATTAAATTTAGTACACTTGGTTTGTAAATCATAAATATTTAAAGCTTCAACCTGAACAGTAGACCCTATGCCTTTTTGCTAGCTCCGGCTGTTAGATCTATAGGCTAACCACCCGACACCTTTGTGGTAATATATTATAATAACAACATCCTTCTAACTCTATACAAGCTCATATTAAGTTCATCTTTTTCCATACACCATTTTGTAAACCAATCAGTTTCTTAGCATTGCTAACACGTTTATTCTAGAGGCAGGTGCCACCGAAAGAGGACAGGGGGAAATTTCCCAAGGCCCAAGCTTACTAGGGCCCATAGAAATTGCAGGTAGCATTTTTTTAAATATTTTTTTTTTCAGAAATAATAATTACTATCATGGGCCCTTAATAATGGCATGGGTCCCCTCCAGTTGGGCCCGCACCAACCCTTTCCCCTGTTACAGTTTCCCTTTTTAGAGGCTAACTTCAACACTCGATCCAAAAGTTACCGAACCAAAAAAATAAGTTGCAACAGGGACGCTCAACATTGAGTAGGGGGCTTTTTCCCCCGTATTTCTCCGTGGCTAATTCAGAAGCATCTTAAGTTATACCAGAGAACAGTGAAATTTTACTGTTCCCTGGTTTAATACAACATTTCATTAGCCTTCTCCGTGACCTATCTGTGTTCACGACCAATTGAGTTTATAGTATTGTCCAAAATTTGTATCCAGGCGCAACCACTCAGAGATTCACACAGAGAAAATCGAAGTTAATTTCCGGTTTGAAATTTTTTCTTCTTTAGGCCTAATTCTGGAACATCTTTACCTTGGATCCCTTATAAACACAACCCTGCAGCATTTCCCTAACAATAGGACTAGTATATTAATTCACCCACATATCTAACAAAAATCTAATACTGTGGTAAAAGTTACCGTATTTATGTAGGTTACAGAACACATGATCGTAGGCCTACACGTTGCATGTTGTTGATTGAAGCTGGACGAATTCATATTGAGTTCTCGAGATCATTATACGTAGACATACAGTATTCATTTCATTGTTACGAGTTGATTATCATGTCCTGGTTGCCTATTCTATTGCAGGTTTGTTATAGGTCCGAAACACGTTGTCTTGTGTGCAAAGACTGTTATTGGGATGAAGTGTCGTTGAGCAATGTTCGTACTTTATTTATACTTTATTTTATAGATAACCATATTGATTTAATAACCATGTTCGTTCGGTGATGAGGTCGTCCACAATTTAGCCTCATCTGAACTTTCTTGCCTCAACTCTTGGGCTATCTACAATCATCTTAAAATCAATGCAAACAAAATTTTCTCTGTGTTTTTTTTGTCGAGAATGCTACCGACGGCTTGTGAAAACCTTTTCTGTTTCCTTAGGTAATTCCACTTTAGAAAATAAACCATCTGCCAAGGTCCTGTGTGTTATTCTTGACGACAAACTTAAATTCCAATCCAATGCCATGCACTTCATGTTGTTTCCAAATCTCGAGCTTCTCTTGAGTGTTTCTCGCTTGGATTTCGTTTAAATAAAAACATCAAAATTCTTTTATTTAACAGCTTAGTTCGTCTTTATTTTGAATACTGTTGCGTCGTTTGACGTTTGGTCTCATCCAATTCATATGCTATAGAGGAATTCGATTCATCTACAATGTAATTTAACATTAACCACTGTTGTAACAAAAATCAACCACTAATGTAACATTAACCACTATTGTAACAAAAATCAACCACTAATGTAACATTAACCACTATTGTAACAAAAATCAACCACTATGTAACATTAACCACTATTGTAACAAAAATCAACCACTGTTGTAATAATTCATTAACCACTATTGTAACAACGATTTAACCACTGTTGTAACAAAGATCATTAACCACTATTGTAACAACAATTTAACCACTAATGTAACAATGTACAATATATAGTAGTCTCCGAGCCGAAACCTTATATACGTTGTCATATTAAAAAACAAATTTCACATTTTATGATGGTTGTGGCATTTTTAATTTTTTTTTATATAGAGGTTAAAGGTCAGATTAAAAAAAAAGAGTCTGAACAGCACAAATTGAACAGGGAAAGTCCCTGTGACATTGTAAATAGGAAAATCTCTTTTAAAATGATTGGCTTTTTGAAAATGTTGTGAATTTTGATATAAATGTTAAAGGTCAGATTTAAAAAATGGTCTGAACAAGCCCAAATTGCACAGGGATGCCTGGATGGTCCTAATTAGGTTACTTAAAGGCAACGCCGGGGTATAGAAAGGGGTACTAATAATTTGATGGATGTTAATCCTCAGTGGTACTAAAAGTTTTTGGGTAAATAAATGCCTAGTTATACTAAAACGATAACGATTGACGATAAAAAATATTTTTATATTTTATCGTTTTTTTCATTATTATTATTATTAGAAATTTGACTTGATTTATGAAAATATTTTTTATCGTATACACGATAATTTTTTAATGCAAATAGTTGCTTTTTTTTAATTGTTGACTGTTATTTTCAAAATATAAATAGGCCTTAATGCATCACCATGCTGCCTGGGTTTGGTTAAATCAAGTCTAAAAGTGTAAATATCTCCAAACTTCTGTATGTCTGTTGGTCAGTCGGACAGTCCCTATTACGTTTAACATGCTATTTTCCCTATTTCTGTTAGTCGTATTAGTTTAGTATTTAGCAGACAGTTTCTTATTGATTGGATGGTCATTCCATTGTTAGTCTGTCAACCAGTCGGTTAATTTTTGCAGCCTTATTTAATTAAATAATACTTTTTCGCCCCTTCACACTTCACTATCTGGTTATATTACATCTTTCCTTTGTATTGGCTTGTGCTGGTATCTGTGACGCAGTGGAGATGTATGCATGCAAAAAGAAGTAAAAAACAAATAAAATATTCAAAAATAACATCTAATTAATCAATTTCCTAATTTCGTGTTCTCTGACCCTGCTATACAATTGGAGACTTCTATATATTGTACGTTGTTACATTAGTGGTTAAATTGTTGTTACAATAGTGGTTAATGAATTTTGTTACAACAGTGGTTAAATCATTGTTACAATAGTGGTTAATGAAATTTTATAACAGTGGTTGATTTTTGTTACAATAGTGGTTAATGTTACATTAGTGGTTGATTTTTGTTACAACAGTGGTTAATGTTACATTAGTGGTTGATTGTTACATTAGTGGGTGATACAGCATCTGTCCGTGGGCCTCGCAGGGACCTAAACTGGTTAGAACTTTCCTCCCGTTGGTAATAGGCCTACATGTTACTCCTCTTTGTTTTTAGATGCGTTGTTGAACTTGCTCCACCGCTTTACTAGTGTGCGTGTCATAGTTTGCAAAAGGTCTGAAGTCACCTCTCGTAATGAAATATCCGTATAAACATGTCGCGTCAATGGGAGGATCCACGGTTTGATGCTCTGAGGCCAAGATTTGGAAGACTCTACCTTTTAATATTACAGTGCAAAAATCTTTATTAACTTTAAAAAAAAATGTGTAAAGGCCTTTTTTTCTTAGCTTGAATTGTTTATTCTTTTGGTTTTCTTCTGTGTTTCTTTAAAGAACTGCAAGTTTTATCTATTTTACTGTTGATTTTTAAGTTTTTATGTGGGAGGACTCCCCTGAAAATCAGCCATGCTGAGTGGGACTTCCTGTTTAAATAGGCCTATTAATAATTAAAAAAAAAAGGAAGATTTAACTTTTTTATACTATTTTATTTGCTTATCGTTAGACATAGGGCCCATGGACAAGCAATTCATTTGCAAACGTTTCCTTTATTTATTACTAATTCCAGTTCTTTTAGTGGGATTCTGAAAGGTCTATAACAAATTTGCAATTCAGTTTTTTGTTTGAGTCTTTTGCAATTGTGTTTTCAAATTGAAATGGTTAGTTTTATCTAGGCTGAACCCAGCAAACTGAAAACCTTATTATAACCTTTGCAAACGTGTAGGTATAAGAAACTAACAGCGACAGCGTTTGCGAAACGTTCAAGCGTTATTTAGATGTGAAATCAAGTTTTATTTGCGTATGGTTTTATACAAAAAGTAGTTTTCTACATAAAACTATAACGCATAACTTTATTATAACGTAAAATTGTAAACTGGGTATTCACTATTCAGTATATATAGGCCTATATGAGTAAATCATGACTATTTCCTGAGATTATTTCTATTTACAGATATGCAGAAGCTCTTACATGCAATCATTTTTTTCTTCATGTTTGGTGTTGGGATGAACAGTAGTTGTCAGAAGAACCAGATGTTGATCAAAGTTTCAGGAAAATACAGATGTGTTCATGTAACCGAAAGCAAATGTATGAAGTATTCAAAAAATCGACGAAATACAAAAAGCTCGTTTACTGGCAGTACCGAGTCGACTAATTCGGAGACCCCAGGGCCCTTTCTCAGTGCTGGGCCAAGCAGTGGCAGCACGTCGTCAGAGTCAGACAGATGAATCATGGATATAGGCTAATGAATGGACGATCCAACTATTATTTCTATCCTCAATTCTGTTAAAAGATATCACGAGGAATTTTTAATTTTAGATGAATACTTCGCACCCAAACAAAATTTACTGTAAATTGGGAAAATTTTGTTATTAGCGTGATATTCGTAGATGCAAGAAGGGTTTTTTTGGGGGGATGGGGGTGAAGGAGACAGGGCGTTTATTCGAGGGATCGGCGTTTATTTTATATGTGTGTGTGTGTGTGTGTGTAAAATGGATACGTAGGCCTATATACTCAAATAGACGCCCCTTAATTTCACTGTAAATAAACTACAACACATTATACCGTGAAAATATGTTATTGCGTCATCATAAGAAATATGTTATTCTAATAGTAGAACATTCATAGCCGTCGGAAGCATTTTGCAAGTGGTCCGGCCATTTAAATAGGGGGGATTGAGGGACTTAACAAATTTGGCAACACGTGACGAGTGAAGACCAGTACCCTTATCCACGGGTACAAGATTTTAAATTTAGTGAGGTCTGAGAGCATATCCACTCCAGTCCCACGATGGTTGGTGATCAATTTTTCACTGAATGACCGAAAATAGATGCTGACAACCATTAGAGCCGCTACCACTCCCACTTAAGCAGTAGCCACAATAAAGTTAGCATGGATTTGAGTCTGTGGAAATACGGCACCTGGATGCCTGGAAATACAGGTGGCAAACCTAGAGCCTCCACCCCTCCCCATCCTCCTGTCCGTTGGTAGACACAATATTTAAGTTAGTGGGGGCTATAGTTCATACCCACCGTCACCCCACATAGTTGGGGCTGAGGTGAGCAAATTTTGTAAATGTGACACCTAAATTTAGCTATTGTCATAAAAAAAAAACGAAGTACAATAACTGTATATATATCGTACTTTTACTAAATTTATCTAGGCCTATATTAACATATTTCCTCTCACCGGACACTATCCCGGTATTTCTTTAAGTTTCGGCCTGAATATATCCCCATAGCTGCCATGAGGGTTTGTGGGTAATGTTCATGAGGGACCCTCCCATTTAAGATTTACCGGTATTTAATAAAGAGTATGACCTTGCAGGAAATCATGAATCAAGAAAACATTAGGCTTATATTCACAAAAGAGATGATAAATGCTATGCGCTGTAATGCTAAAGAGTGGGCCCAGAAAAGAACCAATGTTAAAATGCTATATCTGCACAGAATGTCTCAAAATAATGACCATATTACAATTCGTAGGACTATTGTAAATCATGTGAATAAGACAAAGACAAATGTCAGTCTAATGCGAAAATAATAAATTGTTCAAAATTGAATTTATTGTCATTGCCATAACTAAATGAATTAATAAAGTGCAAGAAACACGAATATATAATACCGTAATGAATAACAATGACTAAACACGCTATAATTATATTTACACAACGTGCAGGTTACTCAGCTATGCTATGGAATTGAGCCTCCTGTATCTGAATGAATACTGAAGAGTTTCGAATAACATGCACTACTGCTGGTACTATTTTAATTACATTTTCTTGCCAAATTCAGCCTGAAACATTATTAAATTATTTATCACGCTCTAGATAAGTTGTACTATCATTTGAATTGCTGTGTTTGGTTCTGGTAGGTCATACTGATTACACATTAATTTTTGTCAATCCTCTGTATATTTATGACAGACATACCATGTAGGTACATCCATGGACAAATCTACCCAAGTGATGAAGACATACCTAATATTGTACTAACATTCAAGGGCGATCCATTTTGTTTATGTGAAAGAGTGAAGGGAGGTAGGTGTCATGTTGTTGAATTTGGTTGTTACTACAGGGGTCCCAGCAGTGGTGGCACGAGTGGGGGGGGGGGGAAGGGGAATTTTCCCCTCCGTCAGACAGGCCTGGATCCCCTGTCTAGATCATGGATCAACAATTTAAAAAAAATAATAATTTGCCTATCCAAATAACGTTATTTTGACTGCCAATCCCTAATAATGTGGTCTAAAAGCACATTTTGGACCATACTAAGCCATAAAACTCTTTCCACCCTACAAGGGAGTTTTGATCATTACGATGAGGGGATGATGATAACGATGACTATTATGATGACGATGACGGTGAAAACAACAAAGCTGAACACAATAGACCTTCCCGGAGTGTCAATCAAATTTAACAACTGACCAATCAGAAAATGGCCAGGAATACGCGTGTGTCCAACAAACGCACGTGTTCACCTGGGCCTATGTTTTTACACTGTCGTTTTGTGGGGCCTTAGCAACAGTATCCAAGGGGCGGGGCTTAATGTTGGGACTTAGCGGAGCTCAAAGTATTAAATAGGGCCTAAGCGACAGGTCTGCATCAGTTGACTATAATTTGTTACAGTGTGCTAATGACAGTACATTGATGTAAAGACTGAACGCCTAGAAAAATACTTCTATTAGACCTCATTGAGTACAAAATTAGGTCTTGCTTGAGATTAGTTTTTGTATCTATACCCCCTCGGGGGCAAAGACAATATGGTTATGATCTGGTAGATGGCGGAAAGGGTAGGCTAATCCGATGGCGGTACATGATGGGTGATGTGTCATAAGTATCTTATTACTGTACAAAAGTCATTAAAAAAATACAACACCACACATTTCCTGATAACTGAATCCCATGTGAATACAGTATTTTATTAGTATTAACATAATACAGTAAAGGCAGTATGCATGACACACGCTCCCACCGGAAGCCTATTTTTGAATAAAGGGCACGATATCACCTCTGAGCTTGGTACTACATTTGCTGGATTTTTAACCTAAACAGAGATTTACTAAGCTTCAACTAAATCATATTTTTCAACACTCGATCAATTCTTAATACGCTTGAAGACTTTGAAGTCTCAGGCATCAGTAGGCCTATAACACCCAGGGAAGTATAGGCCTATATCCTAATCTTATTTCCAACTTATACAAATTCAGGGCATCATATATATTTTTTTTACATTTATCATTCTTTTGAATAATAAGTCTCTTTCTATTCAAATTCTTTATGGCACGTGAACTTTAAAATAGAAATCTCATTCTTGTATTATATTTTTCTAATTGTATATAAACAAATAAGAATAAATAAAAAGAATAATAAATAAAATTGAAATAAATCATAGTAACTTAAAACGTAAACAAAATTCAACATTTTGCTTTTTTGTAACGTGTGTAATAACAATTAACGTAGGCCTATGTTCTCCCCTTATTTTTCCCCTTTGTTCATTAAAATACGCTCTGATTCGTTTGATTTTAGGCGTATAAATATTTTTGAGTTCCGATTGAAATCTGTGTATATTTTCAAACGCTTGATGTTAAATCGAACGAGTCACTCAGATTTTCTCATCGTCGAGTAATACTGATACACAAGTTAAGTTCGTGCAACATATTTAGATCACATTATGTAGGTCGAATTACAGTGATGTTGCCTACCGTATGTATTATTAGGATATTGATTTGTTACAACGTATGCCGATCGTACGTGATATTTAAAGTCAGTCAAGTATCCAATATCTTAGAGCTATTAGTAGGCCTATTATCAAAAGAAACCTCAATTTAATATTCCAATCTAATAAAGAAACAATGTTCGTCTCTGGATAACATAATGTTAAATAACTTATAAGCCTTTGTATTCCAGGACATATTGTAGACAAATTTGATCGCACATAAACAATATAAAAAAGGCTACTTATTTATATTGTGCGACTTATTGATCTTCCAATTACAGCCACGTAAACTTACTGGTATCTATTTCAAAAATTGTGAATCGACGGACAATTCGTTACCAAAGCAAATAATTCGTAAATTAACCAGGTTCTTTGAAAATACTGTACTATATTACGTTCCTACATAAAAAGACGTTGCAGGAGGTAGGCCTATGAGCAGTTTGGATCGCTAATGTATTTACGTATTCACCTATGACACGACACATGAGAACAGTGATTAAAAAAAAAATCATTCGATTGAGAATAAGCATTTACCAAGTAAGTTGGCAATAAATATTGTACAATTGGTGGAATAACTTTAAATTCCAACAAATATTAATCATTATTATATTGTTTTTGCTTTAAGTAATCTGGCAGTAATTTAGGTTGAGATATAATTTTGATTTTTAAATTATCATTCTTATTATACCGTCTTTTTACCAATGGACGTCATTAACCTTTTATTTTCAGACATTTTAATTGCAAAGAATGACTTGTCGTAATTTTCTATATACACCCGTTTTATTAAACTCTGGAATTCTTGCACGATGATGTTAAACTTTGCTATGTTTGTGAAAAATTTAAAGTCTTTAAGTAAAAGCTTAAGGATTTTTTCCATTGTAAGTCATAGCTTTTCTAAATAATGCAGTCGTACCTCTTCGGGGTATACGGGTATCCTGTTTTTATAACTCCTGGGCATTGGTGTCGAATGGTTCTATAAATAAATGTTGCTAGGCCCTATAATTTTTTATATAACAAATTTACCTTTTTACTGAAGTGAGCCATAGTACTGTCAACACCATCCCTTCTGAGGCTAGAATTCAGAGCCAGAAAAATTTATTTCAAATTTACTGAAGTAACTTAGTACCCCGTCAGATAACATTCTGGTATTAGGTTTGGGGCCGGAATATTGATTGCTAATTGTATTCAGATACAAATACTGTAAAGCTAATTTATCGTCATAAAAATACACAGTAAAATATATAAAGTATATCGTATTTTCACAAAATTTAATTTTTATAGCTTATAGAGTTAAGTCGCCGTATGCCTTATAGCCTTTTATTTGAAAATTTTGATCTGGTCCGTCGTGTCCTACGGAGGGACCGACGAAGCCTCAAACGACGGCCCAGAATAAAAAAAGAAAATCCCTGGTGGGCTTCAAAGGGAGAGATTTTATGGCTTTTATGGTCCAAATTGTGCAATCAAAATAAGGTTATTTGGATAGGAAAATCATCATTTTTTAAAATTTTTGACCCGACAACCTAGTCGTTCGCCGGACGACAGGAGGTCTAGCAACGGCGGCGGAACGTTTTTGAAAGTGGTGGGGGAGGGGGAATTTGATAAGGTAATAAATCCAGTTGGCCTATGCAAGCATCTAGGCACCGGGCCGCCAATGGCCCTCGGTAGGGGCCTGGATTTATATAGGACTATAGGCTATTTGGCGAAGTTTGGTGAATTGTATTGGTTATTTTATAGGAATCAAGCTACTGTAATATGACTTCATAATTGTTGTATTTTCCTTTTTATAGTCAAGATTGCTTCCACGATCACAATGAATTATTCAAACCTTCTAGGAGGCCGGAAATGGTACTTCAACTACAATGGCGGGTTCAGGAAGTCGAAATAGAGGAGCCAGGGAGGGACTTGCGCAGATAGTGTCCACCAAAAAAATCTTGCTTTGGGAGGGTCCCTCATGAACATCACATTTAACACCCCCCCCCCCCACACACACACACCATCGTCCAGTGGTAGCGGCGCCAGCGCGGGGGAGGAACAAAAACATGTGATTACGGCACCTCTTTAGATGGCCGGAAATGTCACTACAGATTTTTTACAATATACTATAAATCTGTAGTTAACCTTTAGAGAACTTTATTTTAATAAATGGCCTAATTAAGTATCTTACTGTTTTTGTTAAATTAATTGAATTTAAATGTGGTTAAATTACGTAAGTTTGATGGTTTAAGTTACACTTACATCTTCATCGTTAACATAAACAGAACTAGAGCGTCGCAAGTGCCTACCTCCGCCCTGTGCCGAAAATACAGAATTTACGCAAGGCGGACGAGCGATTCCATTGTTCTCTTCATGCTTGAGACGCACGTTTTACAGACTTCAATCAACACAGTACACACTGGTTGCTCAACTCAAAAAGAAAACATGTAGGCCTATTGTTCGTTTGAAAATGAAAAATATATTGCATTATAATAATAATAATAATAATAATAATAATAATAATAATAATAATAATGATAATGATAATGATAATGATAATGATAATGATAATGATAATAATAATAATAATAATAATAATAATAATAATAATAATAATAATAATAAATGTGTGTGTGTGTGGGTGTGTGTGTGATATGTTCATGAGGGACCCTCCCATGGGAAGGTTTTTTTTTCCTAATAATATGACCTTACATTACATCCTATTCTCCCGGTATATGACTCAAGAGTCAAGAAAACATTAGGCCTGTATTCACAAAAATTCCCTCTTATAATGCTAAAGAGTTGGCCCAGAAAAGAACCCGGGTTAAAATGTTATATCTTGACACAGAAAATAGTAGCATGGAACAAAATAATGACAAATTCACAATTCTTATGCCTGTTAAATCAACGTAGGCATATTTATTGCGAAATGATAACTTCAAAATTCAATTTCTTATCAGTTCCATCATTAGATGAACTTATTCCTCCATTAATAAACAAAAAAAAAAGTGCAAGGAACACGAATACATAATGATACAATGAATAACATTGACTATATCACAACGTGCATTACCGTATATTGTGCAATATAAACAATGCAATTAAATAAAATATATGTGTTATATAGGCAATATGCCATTGTATTATATTTAGAAATAGGCTTGCAATTTAATGAATACCGTAGAATCGCGACCGACCTGAAGCACTGAATAGGCCTAATAAATAATTTGTCACGCTCTAGATGAGGTGTAAAGTTTGTTAATTAAGTGATGTGTTCGCTTCTGCTAGGCCTTATACCGATTACACTTAATCATTTTAGTCAATTATTGGTTTATTTATGACAGACCATGTAGGTATACATGGGCCGACTGAATGAACAAATTTGATCGTAAATATTAAACAGTTTTAAAAAAGCATCTTCATTTGGATTCTGCGAATTATTGATCTTCCATTTACAGCCACGTAACTGACTGGTATCTATTTCAAAATTGTGAATCGACAAACAATTCGTTATTAACCAGCTTCCCCGATAATTCTGCATTACGTTCAAACACAAAAAGACTGTTTGCAGGTGGTATGAGCAGTTTGAATCGCGAAGGAAAGTGTATATGACACGATACACGAAAACACTGACTTTTTGAAAAGCATTTACCGTAAGTTATCAACAAATATTGTACAATTGGTGGAATAACTTTAAATTCCAACAAATTTTAATCAATATAATATTGTTTTTACTTTAAGTAATCGGGCCGTAATTTAGGTTAAAAATTTTGATTTTTTTTAAATTATTCTTATTATACCGTCTTCTTACCTATGGACGTCATGAACCTTTTGCTTTCAAACATTTTAATTGCAAAGAATGACTTGTCATAATGTTCTATATACACCCGATTTATTAGACTCTGGAATTCCTTGCCCGATGATGTTAAATTTTGCTTTGTTTGTTAAGGATTTCTTTTCATTGTAAACCATACTTTTCTAAATAATGCAATCGTTCCTTCTTTTTATAATTTCATAATTTTCACTAAATTAATTTTAACTCTTGTATTGTTTCAATGAGTCGCATGTTTTTCTGGCGACAGCGGGTATGTTTTATGACTCCGGACAATGGTGCCAAATGATTCTACAAAAAATGTTGCTATAATTTTTGTTGAACTTAATCGCACTATATATTGTCAATAGTTTTTTCAAGGTAAAATCATTTTTATTTTGGGAATTTTGGAGCCATAAACTTTCTCTTGATCATTAACATGTATGTCGGTAACATATCCGTCGGAAGCATTTTGTATAAGTGGTCCGGCCGTTATAGTAAGAACCATGGTGAAGAGCGGGGGTGGGGGGTTTGGGGCTAAAAATGTGGTTGTTAAATTGACCCGCTAGGCCTACCCCGGATACGGAGGATTTTAAAGTTATTGGGATCAGAGAGCATATCCACCACAGCCCCACCATGGTTGGGGCTGAGGCGCGACAATTTTTATAATACGACACCCCTGGATGCCCGGAAAGTGATCCCATTCCCATTTTGCTGTACATTGGCAGACACATGATTTAAAAAGCTAGTAGGGGATATAGTTCATATCCTACCTCAGCCTCACGATGGTTAGGGCTGAGGTGAGCAAATTTTGAAAATATCGCACCATATAGACAGTGACGTGACTAGGTTCCGCCGAGGGGCCCTGGTTTGAGAGTAGGCCGTCGGTGCCTTGACACATAATGTAAGTTCGGCAGCTCAGGCTAACAAAGCTTCACAGAGTTAACAAAATTACTCTTTTACTGAAGTGAGCCATAGTACCATCCCATTTCGGAGTCTGAATTCGGAGCCAGAAGAATGTTGTTTATGAAAGGGGTAGAATTTATTTATAATTCACTGAAGTCCAGGTTTTATGCCGGAATACTGATTACTAATTGTATTAATATACAGATACAAATACTGTACTGTAAAACTACTTAATTTATTTGTTATAAAAACGCAGTACACTGTATATATCGTACTTTTACAAAATTTAAGTTTTGTGGCCTGAATATAGGATTACATACGGTAAGTGAGTACCGGTAATAGTGCCCATATACCGTATAAAGGCCTAATTAGTTTGATCGGTGCATAATAATAATAATAATAATAACGATTTTTAAAGCGCAAACATCACCACCAAAAATAGGTGCATGATTTTGTTATGTTCACAGAAGACCGAAGAAATCCCCATTGCTGACTTGGTCGCCGGGACGAGGGTGTGTGTGTGTGTGTGATGTTCATGAGGGGCCCTCCCATAGGAAGATTTTTTAAGAGTTATGACTTTACATGGCTTTCTATTCTTCTGGTATTTAAGAAAACATTAGGCCTATATTCACAAAAATGCCCTCATAATGCTAAGGAGTTAGTCCAGAAAAGCACCCAGGTTAAAAATTTTATATCTGGACACAGAAGGTAGTAGCATGGCTCAAAATAGACAAACATCACAATTCGTAGGCCTATGTTAAATCAATGTAGGCCAGGTATATTGCAAAATGAGGACATACATGAAAATAAATGAAATATGCATAGGCAATACAAAAACAAGCACGGAGGTTAGAATTTTGTTTAAATAATAATATATCATAAAAAAAAACAATGATGCGATACGAACATTAGTAATAAATTCATATAATCTATATAAGTATCTGTGGATTTATTTTAAAAATAATATCATAATTCAGAAGAAGTGGTTCGGGCAAAGCCGGTGCTTCTGGTGCTGTTCCGACGACCCTGCGATATAAACCTATTTCCTCAAGTCTTTTGACTTTCTTTTTTTGGTTTTATATTTGTAGATTTTATGGAATTCTGAAGTCCAACACTGGTACTCTTCTCGTTATAAACAATCTTTATATTTGTTAACACTACCTATAAAACCGATTTTCTTTTCCCCCTCGAAATATTTTCATGCGATTTCAATCTGTAACCTGCACCAATATTTCTTTTATTTTCATTTACTCGACTTATATTAGTAATTTTACGTCCAATAGAAGGCCTTTAAAAGTAAAACACGATCATCTATTAATAGCATTTGAATCACCAAGCACATACAAGCTCTATTGCTTTACATTAATGTTTATTTTGCATCATAAATTATTTTATGTGCATTGAAAATTATTTATTGTTTACAAGTTAGATGAATTCTATTGTTGCTCTTTTTATTTTTATTGATAGAAGATGAAGCTTGTTTACACCGCGGTTATATCATTAATTGCACTGTTTACAAATGGAAAATGTATGAAGTTAGCAAAAGTTTCGAGAGAATATCGATGTGACAATACACACTGCGAAAAGAGATGCTTTCGATATCCAGCGGTTTCAAAGTCACGAAGTGGTGAAAGTACCTGTATTCGTGGAGATCCGAAGTCACGCGCATTAAAAGCAACGACCGAGCATGTATCGGTTAGCCCCCGTCACATTACACATTCTGTGACACCATTAGACATGAAAAGCACTATTGGGACAACAGATACTATCCCTGTGGCACATCTTGTGACACAAAGTGACACAAGCACCACTGTGACAAGTAATGCGCAGTACAGCGTTGGAAGTAGGAGTGAAAATATCATCTCCATCGGTACCCATCATCACCACCATGTGACACAAGGTGACACAAGCACCACTGTGACAAGTAATGCGCAGTACAGCGTTGGAAGTAGCAGTGAAAATATCATTTCCATCGGTGCCCATCATCACCACCATGTGACACAAGGCGACACAAGCACCATTGTGACAAATAATGTCCAGAATAGTGTTGAAAGTAGCAGTGAAAATCCCACCTCGGTGGGTCCCCATCACGCTACACAATCTGCGACACAAGATGCGACAACCGATTTGATTGTAGCGAGCTCACGTCACATTATTCTTAAACTGCTTGTGTTAACATTATAGATACAAATTATTGGCTCACAATATTGTCCATAAAAGGTTGTCTTGTATTTGCAAAGGTCGTTTATAGTTAAAAACGTAGCAATATTCAGTATTAAATATTAAAATATTAAGCATTTGAATATATTCTTGTATTATATGGCATTACTAATTTTACCTCAGGGCTTCACATACATAGAGTAAAAGTAATAAGCCTATAATAAGAGCAACACCAAGGTCCTAAATCACGTGGTGTAAATATCAGGCAATATATATCCAGTAAAATAACAGACTTTGTAAATGTCCGCACAGTACCGTGTTTGACAAGGCAAGGAAAATTATAAGGTGAGTGAAAACGATATTTTTATAATATTACATTTTCAACAAATATATTTAAGTTTTTTCGTGTGGCAACTTCCCATTAGGTGAGAAAATTAATTTGTAACTTTGTAATTCATAGCAATTATAATTGGTATGGCTATTTGTTTTTTATTTTTATTTTTTTTTTTTTTTTTTTTTTTTTTTTTTTTTTTTACTCGAACCTCAGAAAAGTGGTCTTTAATTGCAAGTAGTCTTTCATTGGAGGGTCTTTAATTAGAGGAAGAGACCTGTATTGTTGAAATTTTCAATTGAAACTGAAATGTTCAATGCAATTCAAATATTTTTGATATTCTTCTTCTTCTTCTTATATTTAATTGATAAATATTGCTTTAAATGTCGAAAATTACATTGTCGACGTGATCCTCTATTTTATTATTTGTTTTACGCTTATTTGTTAATGAAAAAAAACAACATAGATTTTGATACAGCCTCAGCCCAAAACAAAATTGGAAAAAATGGCTGCACGTACGTACGTCTAATTTATTGTTGTTTTAATTATCAAGATATTATAGGACTAGAGCACCTATTAACTAAACTTTGTTTATGAACGAACAGATGAAGTTCCTTCACATCCTTGTGTGTTTATGTGTGATTCAAAATGGAACATGCAGTATTTGCAACCAACGACAAAAATACGTGAAAGTAGCGGGAGAATATCGATGTGTTGACACACTTAAGTCCAAGTGCTATAGGTATACTGGCAAAGGCCAACAGGTAACTCAGACATTGAGAGCACAAGTATTCTGCCACCGCAACGAGATTTAGATGCGTACTTATTGGCGCACTACGCGTTTGAAGGCAACACTGACGATGTGTTCGGAAGTTCAAGACACGGTGAATTAAATGGCACCGATATGGGTTACATCGATGGGATTGTGGGTACAGCGATTAAATTGAATGGAACCACCAGAGTACTGGTGCCAAGTTTTGAGGACTACTTTTTTGACAATTTAATGAATACCGTAGAATCGCGACCGACCTGAAGCACTGAAGGCCTAATAAATAATTTATCACGATCTAGATGAGGTGTAATACCATGTATTGAACGTTTTTTAATTAAGTGATGTGTTCACTTCTGGTTTATTATTATTGGTTTATTTATGACAGACCATGTAGGTATACATGGGCCGACTGAATGAACAAATTTGATCGTAAATATTAAACAGTTTTAAAAAATCATCTTTATTTGGATTCTGCGACTTATTGATCTTCCATTTACAGCCACGTAACTGACTGGTATCTATTTCAAAATTGTGAATCGACAAACAATTTGTTATTAACCAGGTTCCCCGATAATTCTGAATTACGTTCTAACACAAAAAGACTGTTTGCAGGTGGTATGAGCAGTTTGAATCGCGAAGGAAAGTGTATATGACACGATACACGAGAACAGTGATTTTTTGAAAATCCTTCGATTGAGAATAAGCATTTACCGTAAGTTATCAACAAATATTGTACAATTGGTGGAATAACTTTAAATTCCAACAAATTTTAATCAATATAATATTGTTTTTACTTTAAGTAATCGGGCCGTAATTTAGGTTAACAATTTTGATTTTTTTTTTAAATTATTCTTATTATACCGTCTTCTTACCTATGGACGTCATGAACCTTTTGCTTTCAAACATTTTAATTGCAAAGAATGACTTGTCATAATGTTCTATATATACCCGATTTATTAGACTCTGGAATTCCTTGCCCGATAATGTTAAATTTTGCTTTGTTTGTTTTCCATTGTAAACCATACTTTTCTAAATAATGCAATTGTTCCTCCTTTTTATGATTTCATAATTTTCACTAAATTAATTTTAACTCTGGTATTGTTTCAATGAGTCGCATGTTTTTCTGGCGACAGCGGGTACGGTATGTTTTATGACTCCGGACAATGGTGCTGAATGATTCTACAAAAAATGTTGCTATAATTTTTGTTGAACTTAATCGCACTATATATTGTCAATAGTTTTTTCAAGGTAAAATCATTTTTATTTTGGGAATTTTGGAGCCATAAACTTTCTCTTGATCATTAACATGTATGTCGGTAACATAGCATTTTGTATAAGTGATCCGGCCGTTATAGTAAGAACCATGGTGAAGAGCGAGGGTTTGGGGCTAAAAATGTGGTTGTTAAATTGACCCGCTAGGCCTACCCCGTATACGGAGGATTTTAAAGTTATTGGGATCAGAGAGCATATCCACCACAGCCCCACCATGGTTGGGGCTGAGGCGCGACAATTTTTATAATACGACACCCCTGGATGCCCGGAAAGTGATCCCATCCCCATTTTGCTGTACATTGGTAGACACATGATTTAAAAAGCTAGTAGGGGATATAGTTCATACCCTACCTCCGCCTCACGATGGTTAGGGCTGAGGTGAGCAAATTTTGAAAATATCGCACCATATAGACAGTGACGTGACTAGGTTCCGCCGAGGGGCCCTGGTTTGAGAGTAGGCCGTCGGTGCCTTGACACATAATGTAAGTTCGGCAGCTCTGGCTAACAAAGCTTCACAGATTTAACAAAATTACTCTTTTACTGAAGTGAGCCATAGTACCATCCCATTTCGGAGTCTGAATTCGGAGCCAGAAGAATGTTGTTTAAGAAAGGGGTAGAATTTATTTATAATTCACTGAAGTCCAGGTTTTATGCCGGAATACTGATTACTAATTGTATTATTATACATATACAAATACTGTACTGTAAAGCTACTTAATTTATTTGTCATAAAAACGCAGTACACTGTATATATCGTACTTTTACAAAATTTAAGTTTTGTGGCCTGAATATAGGATTACATAAGTGAGTAATAGTGCCCATATACCGTATATAGGCCTAATTAGTTTGATCGGAGCATAATAATAAATAATAATAATAATAACGATTTTTAAAGCGCAAACATCACCACCAAAAATAGGTGCATGATTTTGTTATGTTCACAGAAGACGGAAGAAATCCCCATTGCTGACTTGGTCGCCGGGACGAGGGTGTGTGTGTGTGTGTGTGTGATGTTCATCAGGGGCCCTCCCATAGGAAGATTTTTTAAGAGTTATGACTTTACATGGCTTTCTATTCTTCTGGTATTTAAGAAAACATTAGGCCTATATTCACAAAAATGCCCTCATAATGCTAAGGAGTTAGTCCAGAAAAGCACCCAGGTTAAAAATTTTATATCTGGACACAGAAGGTAGTAGCATGGCTCAAAATAGACAAACATCACAATTCGTAGGCCTATGTTAAATCAATGTAGGCCAGGTATATTGCAAAATGAGGACATACATGAAAATAAATGAAATATACATAGGCAATACAAAAACAAGCACGGAGGTTGGAATTTTGTTTAAATACTAATATATCATAAAGAAAACAATGATGCGATACGAACATTAATAATAAATTCATATGATCTATAAAAGTATCTGTGGATTTATTTTAAAAATAATATCATAATTCAGAAGAAGTGGTTCGGGCAAAGCCGGTGCGGCTGGTGCTGTTCCGACGACCCTGCGATATAAACCTATTTCCTCAAGTCTTTTGACTTTCTTTTTTTGGTTTTATATTTGTAGATTTTATGGAATTCTGAAGTCCAACACTGGTACTCTTCTCGTTATAAACAATCTTTATATTTGTTAACACTACCTATAAAACCGATTTTCTTTTCCCCCTCGAAATATTTTCATGCGATTTCAATCTGTAACCTGCACCAATATTTCTTTTATTTTCATTACAAATAAACCAAAGATGTGTATAAGAGACAGTTACAAAGACACTAACAGCAGAAGAAGTTTTTGAACTATTTAACTCTTATTAATTATAGTGCCTGCTTAGGCCATAAAAAATAAATTCTTGTGTTGGTCACGTTTTAGGAAAATCGGTAGGAATTTTTTATTTTTTTTCCTTTTTTTTTTTACCGATAATGTGTTTATGTTCGAACATTTTGGGTCGGTCGGGCGTGGCCAACACAATCATGTTTTTATTTGACCTTACGTAGATGTAAGCTTAATACCAATAAAATGTGTATAAATAACTGATATTTGCTTTTACCGTATAAATGTAACTTAAGCTATTGAAATAATTCATCTACAAATTTGTTTACGCAGGGTCTGGGCATAGTACATTAGGCCTATACTACGTCTCGGACTGTGATTATTATGTGTCATTAAAAACTCAGAATAAATCCTGGCCCCTGTTCTTGTGGGTTGATGGTTATCGCCGAATAGTGGAATGTGTATTGCCAATTCAAGTGGTTGTTTTGGTGAATTTGTGTGGCATTTTGTATTATGCTTTTGGATGGTATGTACGCAATAGCCCTATAGACAAAGGGACAAACAAGTTTGGGAGGGTCCCCTGGTGAAGTTCGAGGGCGAATCCGAAGCTTGGACCCCGGAGCTATTTTGAGACTAATTGATTTATTCTGATAGTCCTGTACTTATTATACAGAAAGTAAATTTGTGAAAATAACGTAAAACCTAGAATCAGCCCGCAGTGGGCTTAATATCGAGAAGCCCATCCTGAATTGAAGCCCTCTCTTTAGTTTGCAAAAGTAGTTTCGAATTGAAGCCCATCTCGAAAAAAAAGCCATCCAAAGTTCGCAAAAAAAAAAAAGAAAGAAAGAAAGAAAGAAAGCCCAGTGCTTCTATTCGAGGTTTTACGGTATTATCGTGAACAGAATATTGATTGAAGCTGTAGTCTGAGGGGACAACTGGAGGAAAAGGAAAGACATTAAACTGGAGAAAATTTCTCTCATGCTTCGTGGTGCCGCCATTTTTCTATTTGGCACACAAATCTAGAAAATATATCGTAGCACGATCCTTCTAAGCGCCTTACGATTTAGGGCATTTTGAGTTCATATTTATGTCAATTAAAATATCGTAAAATAACAACTTTACGCAATACTAACACGAATCTACACAATATTAAACGAGGAGTTGTCAATTTGAGAATTTATTATTCAGAGAGTTGTATGAGGTAATTGGAACGCGTGACTCTAGTAGGCCTAAATGCAATAGATAATAAAGAGTTTCATTTAATAGGCCGAACAGAATATTTATTAATATAAAGTGACTGGTCCATGCTATACCCCAAATGTTATCTCCATTGCAAATATATATATATATATTTTTTATTTTAAAAGAATACGTGACGAATAAGGAATGTCTACATCTATCATTTTAGCATCTATAGGTCTACTGTATAATTCATATAGGCCTAGGCCTACAGTATTCTTAATCTGCTTGTGTCAACATTATAGACAAAAATTAATGGCTTACAATATTGTCCTTATAAGGTTGTCTTGTTTTTGCAAAGGTCGTTTATAGTTAAAAACGTAGCAATACTCATTATTAAAAATTATGCCTTTGAATATATTCTTGTATTATAATATGGCATTACTTATTCGACCTACTGGGCTTCACATACAAGATTGAAGGCCACTGAAGGCGGGTTTTTTTAGATTAAAAGTAATAAGCCTATAATAAGAGCAACACCAAGGTCTTAAATCACGTGGTGTAAATATCAGGCAATATATATCCAGTGAAATAACATGACTTTGTAAATGTGCGCACATTACCGTGTTTGACAAGGCAAAAAGCAAATTATAAGGTGAGTGAAAACGATATTTTTTATAATAATAGGCCTATTACATTTTCAACAAATATATTTCAATTTCTTCGTGTGGCAATTTTCCATTAGGTTAGAAAATTAATTTTTAAATTTGTAATTCATAGCATTGGTATGGCTATATTTTTTTTTTTTTTTTTTTTTTTTTTTTTTTTTACGCGAACCTCAGAAAAATGGTCCTTATTTGGAGGTAGTCTTTCATTGGAGGGGTTTTTAATTAGAGGAAGACCTGTATTGTTGAAATTTTCAATTGAAACTGAAATGTTCAATGCAATTCATATATTTTTGATATTCTTAAAACTTCTTATATTTAATTGATAAATATTGCTTAAATGTCAAGATTACACTGTCGAGGTGATTTTCTATTTTAGTATTTATTTTACGCTTATTTATTAACTTTAAAAAAACATAGATTTTGATACAGCCTCAGCCAAAAACAAAAACGTAAAAATGGCTGCACGTACGTACGTCTAATTTATTGTTGTTTTAATTATCAAGATATTATAGGACTAGATCACCTATTAACTAAACTTTGTTTATGAACGAACAGATGAAGTTCCTTCACATCCTTGTGTGTTTATGTGTGATTCAAAATGGAACATGCAGTATTTGCAACCAACAACAAAAATACGTGAAAGTAGCGGGAGAATATCGATGTGTTGACACACTTAAGTCCAAGTGCTATAAGTATACTGGCAAAGGCCAACAGGTAACTCCAGACATTGAGAGCACAAGTATTCTGCCACCGCAACGAGATTTAGATGCGTACTTATTGGCGCACTACGCGTTTGAAGGCAACACTGACGATGTGTCTGGAAGTTCAAGACACGGTGAATTAAATGGCACCGATATGGGTTACATCGATGGGATTGTGGGTACAGCGATTAAATTGAACGGAACCACCAGAGTACTGGTGCCAAGTTTTGAGGACTACTTTTTTGGGAATGCATTTTCGGTCAGCGTATGGTTCAACTACGATGGAACGCACACAAGTACTCAAGGAATCATCAATAATGGCTTCAAAGAACACGGATCGTGGGAGATAAGAACCCGTTCTGGCTACACTGAGCTCACGGCGTCTGTTAATTACCCTCCTGCAGTATTCAGATATATGGGATTCACTCCTGGTGAATGGCATCATATTGCTATGACGTTTAATGGCACCAAGCTCTTGTTCTTTTTAGATGGAGCGAGCCAAACGCCTGATACCGAATGTTGCAGTGTTCCAATTGGTGTACGTCCTAACAGAGTTACTATCGGACAAGTCGGGATTGGTATGGAAGATAAATATTTCTATGGGTCAATAGACGAAGTAAAATTATTCAATACCTCTTTATCAGAAGAAGAGGTACTTACATTGTTTGAAATTTCAAATTGAACCGTTTCTAATTTGTAGTTGGGCTTGGTGGAAATAAAAAGATCCCTTCCCACCTCCAGGCTCCTCAATTCTCTCATAAACCAGGAATTTTCATAAATGAAGAGCTCCATTTGTTTAAAACATTATTATTGAAACGAAGTAAACGAAGGTGAAGTGGGTGAGGTGGCGAATGTGATTATAAGTGAGGGATAACTCGCAAAATTAGGTATAGGACTTATCTAACAGAACAAACGTTACTCCGAATAAAGAAAGCCATGATTTGAAGTTTCGAACTTTATTTGGTCATCTTCAGGAATGTAGATGATATGATATGTATTATCACCATATTGAGCGTGATTTTTTGTTTCGAACATTTCAATGTGGTGGGGGCGATTGGAGGGACAGTTTTTTTAGGGATGTGCCCCCTTCCGCACGCATCCCTAGATACGCCACTGCTCATCTCTCCTTAATTGTTTCTTTTCATCTGCATAAGATTGTCTCTGTCAAGCTTAATAAACTAGTAAGAACTTCATATACCTCACTTCAGCTATAGGCTTCATTAATTTATCGTGACGTATATTAAACCAGTACTGTGCCCTGCCTGGGCTGTCTCTTTTTAAACTTACGTCGACGTGGTTATCCCGATTGGTACTGGTATGTATTGAGAAAATGTAACCCACAAGGCAGAACAATTGAAAGTCATATTAGATTACAAATAAACCAACTTGGATATTATTATTGATTACCGGTATCGTATTTGGCCTAGGCCTACCAAGGTAATTTAACAAAAGGACGCACATCTCGGGACATCAAAGGTTATAACTCTGGCATCGACATTCTAGGTGCACGTGCGTCCCTACACGCTGAACGTCACAAAAACCATAGCAACCAGACCATAA